TTTGCCGGCAGGGGACAGTATAAATAGATAAGGAAGGTTCATCCACCCCCACCTCAAAATCCCATTCGGAGGATCAATATAAAAAATGTTTAGATTTGCAGATACTCAGGTTCCCCCCCCCCCCCGGTTTGAAATCAGAGAATGTCGTGAAGAATGGAGCATCAGGTAGGGAAAATGGCCAGCTAGTCAAGCCCTTGAAAAGGAACATTCCCTGTTGCTACAAATCTTCCAATAATGCAGAGGTGGGTTGCTCCCGGTTCGGCCCGGGTCAGGCAAACCGGTAACAGCGGCAGGAGGCTCTGCCCACCCGCCTTGGTGCTTCTGCGCATGCACAGAAGTGTCACGCGCGCCCGAACTGGTAGTAAAAAGATTGGCAACCCACCACTGCACTAATAATGTTTAGGTTCTGACTGGGTGGGAATGGGGAAAGGAAAAGGAAGGGAAAGGAAAAGGAAGGGAAAAACAAGGAAAGGAAGAGAGAAGAAAGGGAAGGGAAGGAAAAAAGGAAAAGAAGAGAATAAGGAAAGTTTAACTCACATCCTGTAAAAGCAGGCTTTCAATGAAGTTTGCATTTATGTCCTTTGAAATCCCTCCATTGCCATTTGAAAGGGGAAGCGAACACTAAGAACTTGCAAAATTTGAGGTGTTTGAAGGACAGGCTGCCACGTTGAGCCAATGGTTTCCTTTTTGCTCAACAGGGAGGCGGTCTTTCTTTGAGCCCAACAAAGGGGAGGGGCAAGGGGGTGGGGAGGGGATGTCGTCCAGGAGATGTTGATGAATGAAAGTGACCTCTTTTTTAGGGCACCAAAAAAAAACAAAAAAAACCCACTTCAGTGAACCAATTTTGATCGAAAAAAAGAAAGCACTTCATCATCCGTTAAGATGACTAAGTATAATAATATTAGACCAGCTTTCCCCAACGGTGTGCTTTCCAAATGGATTGGATTTTCAGCCAAACTGGCTGGGAATTCTGAGAGCAGCGTTTTAGCTGCTTTTGAGGGATTTTTTTTTTTTTTTTTAGCAATTTGTGATTTGTATTACAGTCAATATCCAATACGGATCTGGTCCCTGTCTGTAGCAGATTAAAAGCTATTTATAATGCACGTGTTCAGTTGGTGTCTCCCCCCCAACATGGGTGCACTGAGCCTGCTTCCTTCCAATTGTCTGCCCCCAAGAAACCTTGCAACTGCGAGCACATCATATGTATTTGTGGCTAATAAAACAATAATTTATTATATTTATCTGAGATTTTCCAACTCACTCAGTCATAAAATATCCCAGTATTTGGGTGTGTATGATGCAATAGGCTGAAAGGAGGTTGGCTAGTTTGTGTTTAAGTGTGTTGTGCAAATGCAGTGTGTGTATATATGCATGCACATTGATTTATTTCTATTTTCAGGGGGAGAAAGGGATTGAAGCTTGGATAGCCTTATATTGGGTTATTTATGCTAAATTAGTTCTGTGAAGTGGCTCATAGATTTTACAACTATAGATACATTCATGTACAGGTTGTTGGTTTATCTTCTGTCAATTTTACACTTTATCCGACTGTCTATATGCCTTTGTGTGCATGCGGACACATATACCATTTTAAAAACAAGATCATGATGTAGTTATTGTCTCTGCCATTTTAAATAGAGACTAAAATCTGCTTTCTGTTAATCAAAGGTGATTATAGCTTAATTACTAATCACTAATTAATCAAAGGTAAAAATAAAGATTCCCTTGTCAGTCATTTCCAGATCTAGAGGATGGTGCTCCTCTCCATTTCTTAGCATTGTCAGCATTATTTGGAAACATTTCCGTGATCTCATGGTTGGAACGCTGTTACCTTCCCACCGAAATGGTACCATTTAACTGCTAGGTTGGCAGTTCCTGTTCATGGATGCCCCTAATATCCCAAGACATTTCAGCACAATATACACAACCAATGCCTGTGACTAGTATGGGACTTACTCATTCAGCTCAATAGGACAACAACTGTGGTTTAACTTTACTAACTTCTTCTTTTATAAGTGGGTAGTTCCAACGACCGAGCTTCCTCCCACTTCCTCATCAGTTTTTTAATCATATCTGATGAAGGAGTTCTGGGCCACTCAAAAGTTTGCCGTTTTATAAAAATTTGGAAGTTGTTGATAGGAAATGTTAAAGTCTGTCTAAACAACCAGTAGGCTTCCTTTCCTTTCCTTCCTTCTTTCCTTTCTTTCCTTTTTTCTTTTCCTTCCTTCCTTCCTTCCTTTCCTTTCCTTCCTTCCTTTCCTTTCCTTTTTTCTTTTCCTTCCTTTCCTTTCCTTTCCTCTTTCGTTTCCTTTCCTTCTTTCCTTTCCTTTCCTTTCCTTCCCTTCCTTTTTTCCTTCCCTTCCCTTCCTTCCTTGTTTGCGTGTCATCATATTCTTGAGTCCACCTAAGGGAGCGGGGTTGATATCTTATCTCTGGTGGCCACCAATGGAACCAAGCTAAGGTTTGAATTCCTGGTCCAGCTTTTCCCAAACTGGTACCTTTCATATGTGTTGACACCCTAAGTCCCGGGTTTCCCAATTGATGGGTAACCTAGCCATGCAATTTGAGTATTTCCCATCCAATGGACAGAAGAGGCACCCACTTGCTGAACGCAGCACTAAATGTCGAAAATGTCTCATCCAAAACTGCATGTTGTTTTATTAAAGCAGGGCTTAATCTGTAAAACATATTAGGCTGGGCTGGCATGGGAACATAGTTTGACTTACATAGTAGCCTCCAGTGGAAACTTAATCATTATCTTAGCATGTTATTAAAACCAGGGCATATTATAGAATAATACGTAGCAATAGCACTTGGACTTATATACCACTTCACAGTGCTTCACAGCCCCCTGTAAGCAGTTTACAGAGTCAGCTTATGGCCCCCAACAATCTGGATCCTCATTTTACCCATCTTGGAAGGACGGAAGGCTGAGTCAACTATAATACAAATAGTCCCTGACTTACAACAATTCAATTAGTGACCACTCAAAGTTACAACAGCAATGAAAGAAGTGACTTGTGACCATTTTTTCACCCTTACGACTGCTGCAGCATCCCGTGGTCATGGGATCAAAATTCAGGCACTCGTATTTATGACAGTCCTGGGATCCCATGGTCACCTTTTGCGACCTTCTGAACAAGTCAATATGGTAGCCAGATTCGCTTAGCAACCGTGTTACTACCTTAACCATTGCACTGATTCACTTAGCAACTGTGGCAAGAAGAGTTGCAAAGTGGAGCAAAACCAACTTCACAAATGTCTCAGCGACATAATTTTTGGACTCCATTGTGGTCGTATGTTGAGGACTATCTATAAGGGATGTTATTTGCACATAAATTGCTGCTAAATTACCTTCACCCAGTTTTGTTCAGAACGCTGCGCCAACCCAATGACGCATCCAAAGTCAGCAAAAACAGAGCGATCAAATCTTACGATCCGATATCTAGAGATAACCACACATGATTCCCTCCCCCAGGGTCCAATCCAGTTTTTATATATTCACTCTTCTTCAGTTATATTGTCCTGAAAGAAACTTTAGCCCTTTTATGCAGAGAAGGTGGGGAACATAAGGAGGGCTTTTGTGCCCAACAGTGAATGCACACAGTTAAAAAAAAAATGCAGGAGCAGCAAGATTGCGGTTGGCTGAGAGGAGGACCACCTTGGGAACTGGAGCCAGAAGGTTCACAAGATCCTAAATGACTCTGCAAGCACACACCGCTTGATGCTTTGAATCTGCCAGATTTCTTCATCAATCCCAGGGCAAAGAGAGCCAAGATTGCCCGGGGAGAACCTTATGCCATCTTTTGCCCTAACTAAAAGCTGCCTTGTTTTTTTTAATCCCACCAAGATTCCGTCTCCCGATCCATTTCCGTCTCGTCCGCGGGGGTGGGGAATCCCTTCCTTCGCTCTCCAGGTCGATCCCTCGCCCCTCCCGCCTCTGCGGACTCCCCCCTCTCTCTTAAATGCCTCCAGGACTCTTTTTCTGCTTCGGCTGGGACGCTCCGTTTCGGGAAGCCAAGCGCGTCTCCGAGCCGGCAGGCGGGCGAGCGATGCGGCCCTCGGGGGCAGGCAAGGGCCTCCTCCTCCTCTCCACCCCGCCCGTCCCGCCCCTCCTGCTCCCGCCCCGCCGCGAGATGGTGAACTAAGCCGCGGGGAGATGCGCGGCCAGTGTCTTCGGCGCGGGCCCCGGCGGTGGCGGCTGCAGCAGCAGAAGCAGCAATTGAGTCGGTCGCTCCAGGCTCCGGAGCCGCAAAAGCCAGGCCAGGCAGCGCGAGCGGGCGGCCGCGGACTGCAGCAGCCAGCCGAGCCACGGCAGCACTAGCCCCAGCGAAGGAGGCGGAGCGGAGGCGGAGGCGTCCGAACAAAGCCCGCTTCCCCGGCACGGCGGCGGCAGGAGGCGGAGCAGCAGCGCCCCTATGGCCGCGGTGCTCTCGCCCGCCAGGCTGCCTTGCCCTTCCCCGCCGGGGAAGCTCAGCTGGGCCGGCTAGGGAGGGAGCGGGAGAGCCAGCCGGAGTGGGGCTCGGGGAAGAAGCCTGCCCCGGAGCGCTGGGCGCTCTCGGGCCAGGGCCGAGGCCCGGGACGGGGAGAAGGAGCTGCAGCAGAAGCAGGAGGAGGAGGAGGAGGAGAAAAAGGAGGAGGATCAACCGTCCCGGCTGAGTTGGGGGGGACCAGAAAGCGGGCGAGGCGGCCAGGAAGCCATTGCCGGGGGTCTCCCGAGGCACAAAGGCGGCGGAGGGGGGAACGCGGGCCTGGCCTCGCCCGCAGCCGAGAAGAACTTGCGGAGGGAACGGGGCGCCCGAAGGGAAAGAAGCGGCTCGAGAGGCGGCCGGGGAGGGGGGGAGTGGTCGTCCGGAGAGCTAGTTAGCCAGCTAGCTGGGTTAGGGGTGGGTGGGTGGGCGCCGGGCCGGGCTGGGTTTCCAGCGAGGCCGAGGACGAGAGGGGGGCTTGTGCCTTGTCTTTGGGGAGCCTCCCGGGCGCGCTGAGCAAGGGGGTGGGGAATGGCTGGCAGAAGCCGCCGCTCCTGGCTCAGCGTCTTGCTCGGTCTGGTGCTGGGCTTCACCCTGGCTTCCCGGCTCATCCTGCCCCGCGCTTCGGAGCTGAAGAACGTGGGACACCGGCGCCGCGCCAGCATGGAGGGTTGCAAGAGGCGAGGGGGCGGCGGCGGCTTGCTGCTTCTGCCCAACCGGGACTCCCGAGGGGCCCTCCTTTGGCACCCGGACCCTGCCCAGCCTCGGGGCCGGAGCCCCCCGGCCAAGAACTTCCTCTTCGTCGGGGTCATGACAGCCCAGAAATACCTGGAGACCCGAGCCGTGGCAGCCTACAGGTGAGAGATCCTCTCCGCATCCCCGTGCCCTGATCCTGGAAATGGGGGTGGTGGGCGGGTAACATGTGGGGCTCTCCCACGAAGCCCGCTTTTCACCCTTTGCTAAACTGAAGGCCGAGAAGGGATGGGCTCCTGCCCGCTTCAGTCCTTTTTCTCCCCTCCTCTTGTTCTTTATTCCTCTCTCCCCCCCATTTGCCAGCCGTTTTTGGGGTGCCCCCCAAGGAATCATAGGTACCATGTGAGGCACTGCTCTCCCTCCCTCCCGGGCTTCAGGTGCATCCAGGAGTTCAATGCACACTCTCCCTCAGTGATGCTGGGGGCCCTTGTTTGGGGAGGGGGGGTTGCTAAGAAAATATGGGCTTGCATTAAGGGGGATTTTGAAACCCTCCATGCCTATCACACCTCCTTGCAAGTTGCAAGTAGACTGTGCACACGCTGGCTTTTTCTGCAAACCTATTTTATTAAGCAGGAAGGCAATAATCGAATCTTCTTGATACTCTTAAGGATAGTCTGTCTTTACATCTGTGTTTCACGCTCAGCCCTGATCTACACTTTTCAATGCCAACCCCCCCCCCCAATAAAAGGGATAACTTCCTCTCTACATAATTTATCAGAGTCAGTAGTTAATCCTTTAACAGGAGAGGAAAAACTATATGTAGTTTTTTATATATAGGAGAGGAAAAACTATATGTAGTTTTTTTATATAGGAAAGGAAAAACTATGTAGTTTTTTATATAGGAGAGGAAAAACTATACGTAGTTTTTATATAGAAGAGGAAAAACTAGTTTTTTATATAGGAGTGGAAAAACTATATGTAGTTTTTTATATAGGAGAGGAAAAACTATATATAGCTTTTGTATAGGAGGAAAAACTATACATAGTTTTTATATAGAAGAGGAAAAACTATGTAGTTTTTTATATAGGAGAGGAAAAACTACATATAGTTTTTTATATAGGAGGAAAAACTATATGTAGTTTTTATACCGGAGAGGAAAAACTATACGTAGTTTTTATATAGGAAAGGAAAAACTATACATATCTTTTATATAGGAGAGGAAAAACTATACATAGTACGATGGACATGCAGGGCCGGCGCAACGTGTAACATGTTGACACTGGTGCAATAGGACTGGGTGTTTGTTAATATGATTTATCAGATTAGGAATTTTTCTGTCTTCTGAGTTGTATTGTGTTTGGGGGGCATCTGCACTGAAGGAGCTCAACCAGTCTCATTGTACATAGGTTGTGCACTGACAAATAAATTATTATTATACTTCCCCGCCTATATCGACTGAAATGCGAAGAATAAAAACCTTTTGGGGGATCCATCCAAACATGCAAAAACCCAGAGACTTAAATAAAAAGGTGTCACGTGTGCGCAAGGCGACATGGATAATCGCAGTGATTTCAGACCCTGAAAGTGCAAAGTTTTGTGTGGCCCGATGAATACACCCTCTTTGGCTCTTCTTTTGACCAAATCCCTTCTTCGGTCCACCAGCTCCAGCAAACTGAAGAATAACTGAACAGTTTTATGTGGGAAGTGATAAAACTGGCTAGACACATACAATATAACCTGGGAGGAAAAAGGGGGGGAGGAGGGAGAGAGAAAAAATCATTCTGCTTTTAATGGTTCTTCTGGCCAAAACCGGGTGTTAGTAATTAGTTCAGGGCCTTGCAATTCTTTTAAGTTGCGTTCTCTATCTCTGGAGGGGGAAAAAGAAATAGTTCATTTTGTTTTGCAGGGAGAGGGGGAAATCTATTTCCTGAGCATATTATATATCAGCTTTTGGCTGCGTGTTGCACTCTAGAGATCTACAGATGATTGGATTGGGAGAAGACGAAGAGTTCCAATCCATTTCCCAACCCCGAAGCTGCAGGAGACGTCAGTACCCTACCTACGACAGCCCTCTCTCCTCTCCGTTTGGACGTTCTCCAAATGTGTAGCTTTCAGATCCCAGATTCTGCATCTGGAATGACTCTTGCTGGAGATTCTGGGAGGAGTCCTTCCCAGATCAAGATAGGGAAGGCTGTCTTGCAGCGTTGTTCCATAAAATTGATTTTGTTAAAAAAAAAAAAAAGTCGTCTGCCCGTTTTAAAAGAGAAGACTTGGTGTTCCACCAGATCTATTCCACCTCCCTGAATTTCAAAGGTATTCGAAAACAACAGAGCTGGAAGGGACCTTTGAGGTCTTCTAGTCTGGCCTCCTATACGATTTCAGACAAGTGGCTGTCCAGTCTTTTCTTAAAAACCTCCAGTGATGAAGCATCTACAACTTCTGGAGTCCAGCTGTTCCACTGGTTAATTGTCCCCATTGTTAGGAAGTTTCTCCTTAATTCCAGGTTGCTTCTCCCTTTGATTGGCTTTGCTCCATTGTTTCTTGTCCTGCCTTGTGGTGCTTTGGAGAATAAATTGATCCCCTCTCCTCAAATATTGGAATACTGCTATCCTGTCGCTCCTAATTCTTTTTTTCTCTAGACTAGCCAAACCTAAATCCTGCAACCGTTCTTCATCTGTTTTAGTCTCCAGGCCTTTGATGGAGTATTTCAGGCTGGAGAAGACTACCAAAAAGAGGTCCTATAACCATAGGTTGTCTCAATAGTGTCAGCGATGATGGGCAGATATGTCCTTTGCACCAATGATGCCTATAATCTCTATACTAGTTAGAGGAATGGTGATTTTTTTTTTTCTGTGTGAAGATAAAGCAGAGGTCACACAGGAATTCTGTAAGTAGGAGCCTTCACTTGGTAACTCATAATTATTTCTCGCCTGAAGTTTGTCTTAGATTTTCTAAGGTTGAGCCAAAGCTGGAGAATTAGCTGCTGCTTATGGTGCAAAAACAATGCTTTGGACAAGAACATCAGTTTTGGGAGCAAAGAACCGATCTTCACCGCTTAGTTAGCTCCAGAACAACCAAACAGTTGTCTCTTTATTGTTTTTGTCCACATCAGCTAAATCAGGGGTGTCAAACTCGATTTCATTGAGAGCCGCATCAGGGTTGTGTTTCACCTGGGGGGACACCAGGGTGGGTGTGGCCAGCTGAACATCACTCGTCTCGGGGGTCCCTATTATTGTTTTTGTCAACTTATCAGCTAAATCAGGGATGTCAAACTCGATTTCATTGAGAGCCGCATCAGGGTTGTGTTTCACCTGGGGGGACACCAGGGTGGGTATGGCCAGCTGAACATCACTCGTCTCGGGAGTGCCTATGGTGGCCCGAGCGCTCTGCCAGTGACAACAGGCTCCTGAGTTCCGTTTTCAGCTGCAATGGCCTCCTGCAACCCTCTGCCAGTGAAAATCAAGCTCGGGAGGACTGCACGTGGCTCGTGTGAGCTCCGTTTTCAGCTGCAATGGCCTCCTGCAACCCTTTCAGTGTAAACTAAGCTTGGGAGGGCTGCAAGCGGCCCATGTGAGCTCCATTTTCAGCTGTAACAGCCTCCTGAAACCCTTTGCCAGCAAAAAATGAGCTTGGGAGAGCTGCACCCGGCCCTTGCAAACTCCGTTTTCGGCTGCGACAGCCTTCTGCAATCCTCTGCCAGTGAAAATGGAGCTCGGGAGGGTAATGTGCAGCCCTCCTGAGCTTCGTTTCTGCCAGCAGAGACACCACTGGTCGGTCCTTTGCTGTTTCCAGCGCGGCCCCACGGGCCAGATATAAACACCCCACAGGCCAGATCCGGCTCCCAGACCTCGAGTTTGACACCCCTGACCTAAATCATCTTTAGGAAAAGTGAACTTGAGATACTTGAGGACCACAGTTTAAGACGGCCTTGTTCCAACCTGGTGTTATTTCTCCCAAATCACTTTGGTGGCATCCCTGTAGCGTCCTTGTTCCCCACCAAGTTCCGAGCAACTAATGTTCATGTACTGAATTGTAATTTATGGTGAGAACTCTGGCATGAGCAAAGCAATTGAAACCAGCCTATTTTCTTCCTCTCCCCCCCCCACCCTCTTTTTTACGGAGTGGAAGCTTTTAACAGAAATTGGGAAATCACTGGTCTCTTTCTCTCCACCCCCCACCCACTCACCCACCCAGAAAAATAAAAGGGAGAGTTGATAGGGACCTCTGTTGCATTTTGATCAGGGACTTTTAAATGCTCCCTGAGTAAATGCATAAGCAGAGCATTGACGACGTATATGGCCTTGAAGACAAGGGAAACCTTGTTTCATGCCAGCCTATCTATCGAGCGCTCCCTTGGGATGGTTGGAAATTGACATTTGGCAGCAAACCAGGACCCTACTCTCGGGCCCGCTCTAACAAAAAAACAGGACGTTGTAGGGTCTCTTTATTTCTCTTACTTCAGCTGCTTAGGTTTCCCCTCCCCTGGCAAAGCCAGCGGATGATTTGAATCGGAGGTGGTCTGTGTACAGAATAACTGTACCCCTAGGATGAAAACGTGGTTTGTTTAGTGGCTCAGCGGGTTGCATAAAAACCCGCTGCTGTGGCTTGTTAAAAAAAGCATGGTTGAGACTAGCGTGTTAGCTAGTAAATCCTAGAGTAATGTGTAACTCATACCGCTAATTTGCTGCTCATCAGGAAGATTTTTGCCATCTGGCTGATAATCTGCCCTTCCTTCTCTCTTTCTCTCTATATCTATCTATCTATCTATCTACCTATCTATCTATCTATCTATCTATCTATCTATCTATCTATCTATCTATCTATCTATCTATCTATATCCATCCATCCATCCATCCATCCATCATCTATCTTATCTATCTGTCTGTCGGTCTATTTGTCCATCCATTCATCTATCATCTATCTTGTCTGTCTATTCATCCATCCATCTATCCTATCTGTCTGTCCGTCCATCCATCCATCTATCCTATCTGTCTGTCCGTCCGTCCATCCATCCATCCATCTATCCTATCTGTCCGTCCGTCCGTCCATCCATCCATCCATCCATCCATCCATCCATCCATCCATCCATCCATCCATCCATCCATCCA